TCACTTATCGTCTGATTGTATATTCTAAGTGCGACCCCTTTTCTTTTTCCGTTAAATATCAGAAAAGTGAAGTTTTAATTGTGTTCATAAATATGACTCTTTGAGTTCAAGGACTTCTGTCTTATTAACGAAAGTTGTGTAATCCAAACTCTTGCCTAATACGATGGTGAAATCTACATGTTCTGTTCAATAAATTTACTTGTAATCTGGGATGGTGTCTAATCCGTCCAATTTCTTTGAGACTTTTGGAGTCTCGATTAGACGAGTTTTACTTCGCTTCAATTAATTGAGAGAAATGTAAAAATGCAACCAAATAAAATTCTATAAATGTAAAATGTGAATTAAAAAGTTGGTTCAAGTTCAATACAATTAAATGCTACATAATATATTATACCATTCAATAAAATATTGGAAAATTTAATGAAATTCAATGCTATACGTAAATGTAATTCAATGAAATAGATGCAGATAACAGTATATAGTATTCAAGCTCAAAAGTCTAATTAACAATAAAAAATTGGAGCAGAGCTAACATCAATGTCAAAAACATTAGAGATGGGATCCTTTGCCATAGAGCTCTATACTTAAAACTTTCTGTATGCCGTAATCCAGAAGTGAAAAAAGAATTAGATAGATTACATGATCAGTACTGGTTCCGAATCCTTACAAACAGAGATACTAGCGGGTTCAAGTAAATGTTCAACCAAGCCTCTTTCTTTACTCCTCACTAAGATATTAACAGTAGTGAAGGAGAAACTTCAAGAGTACTGTCCAACAATACATGTATATTCATGAAGTGGTGTAAATATTAAATAAGATGTGGATACTTTAAAATTCTAAGGAACTTTTGGACAATTTGAAATCACAAGATTTTACCGAAATCAAAAGCTTAAAAACGTACGACTTTTTAACGTTATATTATACACTACCATTTCCAACAATAAATTAAAGTCCAGGATTTTTTTTATACCATTGACAGCTGCTTTTCCAATAAAAATGGAACTCGTAAATTTACTTTCCTTGTCATTGGTCATTTGCAAATTTATTTTAAAAAAAACATTCTGATTGTACACACAAGTATTCTGAAGTTGACATCAAAAAGATGCTTGAGTTTCTGATTGATAACAGCTATGTGGTATAATATCTATTGGAATTTCCATGGGTACCAATTGCGCCCCCATTAATAGCAGAACTATTTTTTGTATTCTTATGAAGCAGAATTTGTGCAAAATCTTTATGGACGTTCGATCCTGAACTTTTGAGCGGATTTTAGTCCTGTCCTTTATTTATAAAATTCTGCATAATTTTTAAGTTCTAACATTAAATCTGAATTTTACAATGCAAATTGAACCATACTCAATGAAAAAACCGCGATATATTTTGTGGCGGAAGGTTTTTTTTTTTTTTAAGAATAAAATGATCAGTCTTTTCCCTTTTGAACTATGAAAGTACTGTTAATTTTAGATTCATATTTTTCCATGCTGGTTGCACAAAAAGCTGTCGTGATTAATGGACCGAATTGAATTGTGTTTTGTTGATCACCTTCTCTTGTATTAACTGTTAATTCGCCAACTCTTAAAAATCCATGAAATGCCAGGGAAAATGCAGCCGAGAAAAGAGCTGTTTTTTGGCAGTGTAATGTGTTATGCTGGTTCTGAAATATCTATTAAATTATTTTTATGAATTTTTTCAACGAAGTGTAACAAATGTAGTAAGTATATTCTGCAAATCCGGAAAAAAATTGAGCCAATTTTAACGTAAAATTTAAATACACTTAGAGTTCATTTTGTTTCAAGCTTTAATAGGATAAAAATATTGGAGGGAAAACGTCAATGATGTAATTTTTAATCAAGACACAAATTTCAGTGCAAAAAGGTCACATTAAATGTACTGTAGCGCCAAAAGAAGCATATTGACCCCCATTTTTTGCTTTGAATTTTAATGAGGTTATGTATGTAGAAACTAAAAATATATACTTGGCAAAAAAAAGTTTAAGACTTTAAATATCAGGATCCAACGTCGTTAAGCAAAAAGAAAACACTTGCTGTGGCCTATGGCACGCCAAATTCACAAAAATGAGCTAAACATAGTTTCACAGTCGATAAACTAGGTTTATCGGTTGTAAACTATAGCAATCATCTGAATCACTGAATCAAAGGATGAATATTGTACAGCAGTTTCACAAGGATCTATGTATGAATTTTTCGGGAAAGAGACTAAACTTCGGCACTAACCCAATTGGAGATAACCTAAGATTAGTTACGGACTGTAAACTATAGTTAACAACGTTCATCTATATTTTACATCTGTAAACCATAGTTAACGTGATAATCTATGTTTCACAACCGTAAACTATACTTAACACCGAAAACAATCATTTGCGATTGCAAAACATAGATTATCTGATAAATACAGTTTCACGATTTGTAAACTATAGTTTACAAACCGTTAACTATAGTTAACGATCTGATAAACATAGTTTCACGATTTGTGAAACTATGATTAACAACTCTTAACTATAGTTTACGATTGTAAACTATAGTTTACAAACGTGAATCTATGTTTAGCAACAAAATCTATTGTTAACGCTTATTACAGACAGATAAACTTAGATTAGCATTCGTAAACTATAGTTAACAACCGTTAAATATAGTTTTACAGATAAAAACTATACTTAACAAATCGTTAACTATAGTTTACGGTTTGTAAACTATAGTTTACAGTCGATAAACCTAGTTTATCAATTGTGAAACTAGGTTTATCTCATTTTTGTGAATTTGGCGTGCCATAGTGGCCTTCAAATCGACATTTACATGTAGATATATCGAAGACGTATTGTCAATTAACAATGGTTTCCATTCTTAGGTCGATACGATATATCCTAGTGAGCTTGAGATAAAAGATAGGTATACCACAAAGTCTGACACATCTGTTTCATATTTTGATATTTTACATGAAAAAGACGTTAAAGGTAATCTAATAACCAAGCTCTATGATAAACGTGCTGACTTTAACTTTACTGTCGTCAACTTCCCTTACTTATGCAGCAATATATACTTTCATCACCTGCATACGGAGTTTATATATCTCAGTTGATTCGACACACAAGAGCATGCTCTTCGTATGAACAACTTCTAAAACAAAGTAAATTATTGACAAGCAAGTTGATGAAACAAGAATTTCAGCAGTCTCGTTTAAAAGTCTTCATTTCGTAAGTTCTATGCTCGATACAATGACCTTGTCAGCAAATACAATCTTTGAGTCAAATGCTGACTGACGTTTTTCATACTAAGTGTTAAACCATTATTCATACACCGAATTGACGACGGATTTTTCCGTTATTTCCCGATCATGACAAGGAGCACACGGCGGGTGTGACCGGTTGGCAGGGGATGCTCACTCCTCCATGGCACCCGATCCCACCTCTGATGATTTGGAGGTCCCTGTTTGTTCTCCTCCTCTTTTGTATTGCCTTATGGACTTTTGGTCTTGAATACTGTTCGATATCTAAAAATGTTTTCACATATCACATATATGATAAAAAGAAGGCATCAATACTTTATCCACATTGAATAAACGACGCTCCAAATACACAGGACTCGGGTTTTGGTGGTCACAATGAGCTCATTCTGTAAAAGGATATCCTTATCCACCCATATTTGTACTATTGCCGAGAGTTTGCCATTTCTGACAAATGGACCGTTTTTGTTATAAAAAATAAATTGCATTGTAAGAAATATAAAGTCGGCAAAAATCTTTCAGCTTCTGTGATAGAACGCTGCGTAGCATGTCACGTGACCGCGTACATCACGTGATTCGCGCATGAGCAGAATAGTTGCAGATGCGCGTTAAAATCAGAGAGGTCAGAAATTTCAACACTGAAACAATGTACTATTTCTTTTATGGAAGTTATTCAATTAGTTCACGAACTTTTTGATCATTCCTCCTAAATAGAGTTGAAAAGTGGTTCATTTTGGTAAAATTTTGATTTCAAATTTTTCGGACGTTTCTTGGAATTTTTAAGTTTCCATATTTGATTGACACTACTTCTTTCATATATTGTTAGACAGTACCGAGGTCCCGTGTTGCAGTATAGGTACTGGCACAAAAAAAAAGATCCTTCACTGCTTGTTGGTCCTAAGTGCCGAGTATAGGACAAAATTTGCAGCTCTCCATCGCCAAGTGGTGGTGTCTCCATATGAGTGAAACATTTCCGAAAAAACATACAATCAATCAATAAGCAAAACTGTTCAATTCAGTTGAGTTACATAGAGAAATTTGTAAGTAAAACGATTCTCGAGAGGGACGTTAAACAACACACAATCTATCTATATGTAAAATGTAATTAAAATGTTACATTGAAAATTTAATTTTTAAAAACGATGAAGACTAGTATAATAAATTATTATACAATTTATTTTGAGTTGGTGATTGTGGCCACGACCTGCATTAAACGAAAAATACTTGATTTAATTGTTATTGTTTAAGAAATGGATTCAATAGCTACCGAAGTTATACTGTATAACCTCGGTAGATAGAGTTTACACTTAGTAAATTGCAAAATGGTCATCTCTTTTAAACATTGGCTTTCAACACTGAAAGACCAAAATAAGCTCTTGATAATTTTATATGAATTTTTTTTGTATTTTTTTCAGAGAAAATGAAAAAAAAAATTTAATTTGCAAATAAAGTGCTTCAGGGTTTAGCATTTCCTGTTAATATATACATAACATGAATTTCTAATAAAATATTTAAAGAAAGGCTGGATAGACTTTTTAAATGTTTTAAATGAAAAATTATTTATGAAAATAGAACACATTATTTGTGAATATTTTTTAAAACCTATGTTTAAAAACTTCACAATACTAAGTCACAACTAGGTCTGGTAGAACAGGTTTGTCATCATATTAAAAAAAAAATGAAATTACTTATCATAAAATGTTTCTAAAATTTACTTTTTTCAAATAATGCCCACTATAAATAAAAAGCTGAAAAGACTTAAAAGTAATTCTTTTTAATGTACTTTTCAATCCACCTACTTGATCAACGTTTAGTGTCAAACTTCTTTAAGTCTGAAATTTTAAATCATGCATACATTCTGTGTAAAACATTTGAAAAGTGCATTTCTATTCGAAACACAATTCGTTTGTCACCAGTACCTATTGACACATTCCCTTTTAAGTCAGCCTTAATGCATTGTATAATAATAACAAGTACACGTATATATAGCTACAATAGATGTTGATAGCAAATTTTAAATACTGAACATTTAAAAATAAATTCCTAAGTCAATGAACAGAGTACAATTTGTGATTTTCCTTATATTTAATGAACACAACAGAACTTGTTTTTTTTTATACTGTTTTCATCAGATTCTTTAATAACAAATATTCCATAAATATCTGTCCACTCTTTCTCTCACACAAGCCTTTCTCTCAATATTACAGTATGTTCTCATAATTACACACAATTCTATAAATCACCTAACATTCAAAATGCAATTAAAATGTAAAGTAGAAAATGTGTTTTTATCTCATGATTTACATATCATTATTTATATAGCCACAAATCCTGGCCTTTTACCTGGTTATTTCTTTAAATTGTGCAGCTTGCAAGATGCTTTTATAATGCAATTAAGTTTAATTCAAATGTCTATCCATGTTCTTCAATTATGGTTCTTAAAATATTTTGTTTTCAGACTGATGATGTAATTTTACATTTTCTCCCTCCTTCTACAATAATACATAAATGTTAATGTTCAAGACAGTAAATGAAGATATTCATTTCATTCCAATTTCATTTTAGCTAACCTTCCCACATAATGTTTTAAAAAAAATGTTGAATGATTGGTCACTTGATGACTTGTTCGTCTTGTCTCACTTTAGTAATGACCATTTGATCTGCTCTTTTGCACTCTGTAAGACCTAAAATAAAACAGACACTCAATAAAATTCATAAAGTACCAGTATATGTATGTAGAACAAGTTCATCATACACTTCACAGGTTAATAAAATGGATAAGTAATGCATAAAATTTGCAGCAAAAGATATATCTTGCAAATTTCTTCCAAACACAAGATATACAGTTATAGAATAATTCATTCAATAAGTACATGTATATGATATAACATGAAAATATCTATGATATAAAATATAAGATAAAGTGTTATTGCTGAATCATAAAATCGAGAACAGGTGTTAAACATACAATGACCATCTACACATGCATGCAAATTGTTCTGGATGGATAAAAAAAACCCTTTGCATGGTACCTCTAGAAAGCTTGTAAATGAACAAAAAGTAGCAGCATTAACACTGCCCTGTACTTATACAGACAACAAATCTGTAAAGAGATGCACTCTCATTTGCTTTTCCTTTTTTTAAATTCAAAAGTGCACACAAAATAATCAATCCATGATTTTTTGATAGATGATAATTAATCAGATTTTTTTTCTCAGAAATTCCCTAGGCATGAATAACTAATTCCATTAAAAAAACTTAAGGATTTCTAAAATCAGAGTGATGGAATTTGTCAGAGGTTCATCAACAGGCACCTAGTTATGAATGCACGGCAATAGTTTATTCCATGGCCTTGTCATATTTAATGTAAAATAACTGACATCTTATACCGTGCTCTGAACAGTTTTGACATTAATCAAATTAACATATATTCACCTTGATTAAAAGTTCAATTCCTATATGTGTCAAAATAGTCTTTAGTTTGCATGCTAAATATCTTTATAAAACAATAACCATGAAGCACAACGAGCACAATGTAAGACCACCGTGATCAACTGAAAAACGAAATGAATAACACAAGGAGAAGAGGAACTCCTTGTTAATACCATCAAGTCCCAAGCATTTGGCAAGTTTTGCAGGAACATTTCTGCAGTGACTGTCATTCTGATGACAATACCATTCCAAGTGAAAGTATAAAAGGACATGTTGCCTCAAATAGAAGGAAGAAAGATTAGGCAACCTAAAAAGATCAAGCAAAGGACAATAATCTGGATGAAACAATTAACCCATAATAAGTCAACTCTTCTAAAAAACAGACTGTACCATGAGGATCAAAGAACACACATTTCCCATAAATGGATGAAAATAGAAATGGTCATGTTACCTCAAATGACCAAGTATTGGATGCATGACCTCAAATGACCAAAATTAATTCAGTCATTTCCAATAGAATAAGTGAGCTAGTCAGTATTTCACTATTACAGAACTAAATAATGGAAATACTACTTTAAATGGACTTTATTATAAACATTTCATTTTTACTGGACTAAAAATAAAGAACAGGTTCTCTGAAATTCAAAGTTTTTCAACTTCATATGAATTAAAGAGGGATTTAACCTAGATCAAATCAAAAACACAACCACCTAATACAGGGTAATTGTTTCTTCTGCTTAATGGAAAAAAAAAGAAATTTGGGTGGATGAACTAAAGAAATGCAGTTAGAGATAGAAAACAAAGACCAGTCTTGACTTCACAGCTTTTGGTCAATAGGACTCTTTTTAGTAAAAGAAACCTGTGACTAAACTTTCATTGCAAAATGGAACAAATAATTTGAATACTGTGCATGCAGTGGTTGAATTTCTTATCCTGTATTTTGATGTTTTTTAGCCCAAAAAAAATTAACTGATATCTGCAAGATATGCAAAACCTCCAAAAATAAAAGACTGAAATTATCACCAGGAATCCATACATAGATAAGAGTTTTTGATTTTGACCATTTAACCTCAAAATAAATAGTGCATCTTTCTTCAGCCATTAGGAGTTATGATATAAAATTTCATTGCAGAGGCTAAAAACTGTATTTATAATCCAAAAACACTTTTAGTAATACATGAATTTCTGACCTTGACCTTTTGACCTCTAAGTCAATAGGGCTCTTCCTTGGGACATAGGGAATAGTGATATAAAATTTCATTGCAAAAGCTCAATTCAAATTAATGTCCACCTTCTTCACTGAAGAGAAAGATGAGATAATGAACAAGTCAAGTCACATTAGGAAGAAACCAAATACTGTATATCCTCACAAAACTTTAATAAATAGATTAATCTAATACATTTCAGACCGCAAGTCACTTTTGCACAAATAAAATGATTGTGCAAGAAACTAACTATTTCTAATTACTAATTATTTGTACTGGTTTCTTTATCAACACATTTATAACAATATTAATACTGTAAACCAACTTTTATTCGCGATTTACCGGAGGTAAACTAGTTTGCGACGATTTCGCGATAAGCCTATTTAGGTTCTCTTGTTAATAGACACATAGACTATAATGACCGGTTCGCGGCGAGAAATATTCGCGATGACGAGGCTCTCGCGAACTTCGCGAAAATTTCTCGCACGCGAATAAAAGTTGGTTTACAGTAATTTTAATCAAATTAAATCAGATTATGAGGGAGGTCTTTTTAAACTCACTTTAATGGTCATGAAAAAAATAGGGTATTAGTAAGTCGACATCTGTCTACTTTTAATTAATTAGCTATACATACTAATAAAGCTGCATCATTTTATCTATTAATAAGAAAGTGTGATTCTGTTCCATGAGGCTGAAATTATAATTTTTTTGTTTTATAACAATATAAATAATTATAAATTCTTAACGAGTTGTATCATAAATTAGTCATTAAGCAAAATAAATGAGATTTTCTCCCTTAATTACACTAAGGAGGTCGCTTGTGTGGTGTAAATTTTTAAGTGTAATTTCCTGTCTTCAAACTGGGTCATTAATTATCTGCGGTGGAATACAAGTCTTTTATTTACATATTAGAGTAAGACTGATTAGATACTACATAAACTGCTGACAGAAACTGAACCCCACAGACAGATTCTAGTGACTGGTGACAAATTCTAAAAAGTTCCCTCACTGTGTCAGTCTTCCAGCTCCCCGTCTAATTTGTTCCTCTTATGAGGAGAAATCATACTAAAAGTCAGTAGGGCTCTGTGAGAGATTTATTATTTAAGTGTTCTAAATTAGAAATTAAGTTGTGATCATTAAGATTTTTTGTTAGATTATATGATTTTTTAAAGCTAGGGTTTCCTCTGGCCTTGGTCGTGTGGTATTATGATCTCATATCCCAAACACAGAATCATTATTATTTGTCCTGGCTTCATAACAAAATGACTTCACAAATTACCACAAAAAATCAACTTTTTAAATAAATATTATTATTAAAACGGACCGTTGTGTATGTAGAATTTTTAGGCCATTATCTTTGGGATGAGCCATAGTCTTTGGTTCAAAATACTGGGCAAATCATGAAGAAGACACAATGATTCATTCCTGGAAATTCTTACCACTGATAAGTATAATTAATTCACTCAATATCGGACATTAACCTTTACCTAACAATTCATTTAGCAAGTAACTTCCTAATATTTAGTTAATGAATCTGATTAGCTGCAAAACACCAAAACATTCAGTTTCCTGATTCATTGAAATGCACAGTTTAACCAGTTTCTTACTATGGCAATTTATCAATAAGTTTTTATTTAAATGATTCAAGGAGGATTATTTTAAAATATCTTCTCCATGTGGGCAAGATATACAGTGTATAATTAATGTTCTGATGTAGAAATTAACTTTTCTGTAGATGGTAGGCTTGTGGTAGATTTTATTGATATTAGAACCATTCTTTTACAATTGCCTGCCCATTCAGGACTAGCTACTTAGAAAAGTAGCTCCAGTGCATGCAATGGTAACTCTCAGTCACTAGAACAATTTTCTAAGGATCTACACATTCATACAGATATTGATCATCAATCATATCATAAACTGAGCCAATATATTTATATTTTGACAAGCCTATGCAATTTGGTTTCCAAGCAAAGAGACTTGACTGCATGAACAGAATTACATGAACACTTTGGCTGGACTATACTGGACATGGCCTAAAATTCAGGTTTTTGTGACTTTAGAGGATATTAGTCCACACCCTAGATTTCATAGCAACCAATGCCTTTAAGCTTATTTTTCTAGGGACAATGACAGGTGCATTACCTCTATGTACATTTTAAAGTAAAATATTGTGCAGAGGATGAAATAGAAAATACTTCATTAATGTTGTGTTCAGGGGAGTTACTGTTATTACATGTATATCATGAACATCAGGGATCACATAAACTATAAAACATTTAATTTTCCAAAAGATGCAAAGAGAAATTTTGGAGCTTATGAATAATGTCCATGAGACCATTCAATGGTTTAGGAGTAAAATATCTGAGTATTTAGTTGGGGATTATTCATAAAAAATCATGGATACTTGTGTGCCGTAGCTCTCTTTTCAAACCAATAAAATTTTATATACCCTAATCCCAGTGAATTTTAGCTATTTCATTTCCATAAATTCCTGTATATTTAATATCTATTTCCATAAATAATGTACATGTACCATAGTCCCTATCATTTAAACACTGTGGCTTTTACATATGATTTTAATAAAATGGAGGATGTGGATTTTGTTTTATCATTCAGTGGGGCCCTACTATATACCACCAGTAAATTGCTACATGAGATAGAGCATTCTGTTCCCCCAGCTAAGGAATGAATACCACCACCATAATCCCAGCACTCACCTCTAGTTTTTTGTTTATCTGCTATGGCAGAGAATAAAAACATTCAAAGTTAGACTTCTAAGTCTACAGAAGATATTAATTTACCTCCACCAAAAATTAAAGTCAAACAAAAAGTAAGAAAGAAAATGTTGGGGTTTTGTGATTCTAAGAGAGATGATTTTTTATAAGTATCATAAGTATATGTATAATAGTCTAAGGTTGAAGGTGTTTCTGGGCCAGGTAGAATTGTGTTTCTTTTTATGCCCCTGTAATTGAAGATTCAGGGGGGGGGTATAGCTTTTGTTGTGTCTCTCCGTCTTTCTGTCTGTCTATCTGTTTGCAAAAACATTCACCTTGCCAATAACTTTTGATTTAGTGGAGCTATGACTTTCATATTTCATATGTGTATTCCATGTGACAAGACCTTTCTTTGAGTACCACCAAATTTTACCTTTGACCTTGGAGTTTGACCCACTTTTATCAAAAAAATTCTAAACTTTTACTTTAGCCATAACTTTTGAATGGTAGATAATATGACTTTCATACACTGTACTTGACATATGTATTCTTCGTGACAAGACCTTTCATTGGGTACCAACAACTTTGACCTTTTGACCTTGACCTTGCAGATTTGTATAATTCAAAAAATTTTAACCTCAGCCTCAACTTTTGAATGGTAAAGCCTAGGGCTTTCATACTTCACATATGTAATCCTTGTGAGAAGACGTTTAATTGGATACTAACAACTCTGACCTTTTCACCCTCACCTTGGAATTTGACCTACTTTTTAAAAACAAACCTTGACCATAACTTTTGAAGGGTTAAGGCTAGGGCTTTCATATTTCACATATTCAATCACTGTAACCAGACCTTTTAATAAACACCAAGAACTTTGACCCTTTGACCTTGACCTTAAAGTTTAACCTACTTTTTAAAAACTTTATCCTTGGCCATGTTACTTTTGAACATTGAACAGTTAGGATTAGGTCATAATAAAAAAATTCCTAGATTCTCATCCAATTTTTTTGAAAAATTGAGGCGGGGGGGGGGGGGGGGGTTTAAGATGAGGACTTAAAACAGAAATAAAAAAATTAAGGAGGGGGTAAAACATGGGGGTGGGCAGGGATGAGAATCTAGGAATATTTTTATTGTGGCCTTACGGCTTTCCTTCTTCACATATGTAATCCTTGTGACAAGACATTTCCATAGATACCAACAACTTTGACCCTTTGACCTTGACCCTGAAGTTTGACCAACCTTTCAAAAACTTATCCTTGGCAATAACTTTTGAACAGGTGGTGCTAGGGCTTTTGTATTTCACAATAATTATTCTATTTCTTGTGAGAAGGCCTTACTTTGGGTACCAACATATTTAAATTGCATTTAAGAAAAGTTTAATCTTCACTATGTTGCCATACAGGAGCATCAGTGTTTTACAAACACATCTTGTTTTAAATTTCTTTTTCCAAAGTGTTTATCATTAAATCTAAATAAGACTCAAATTATTCAAAGAATTGCTATGTCTAGTAGTATTTGTCTTCACTGTAAGTGATTCACATGTATCTTAAATAATGTGTTCCTTTGAAATGCTCCTAAAGTAGCACTTATGGCATAAAAACAAAAATTAATGTTTATAAAATTACACTACAAATTATACAAGACTAGATTGTTACATAATGAGAAACTTGGTTAATTAGACATAATTTAAGATGAATTCTCACTTTACAAAAATAAAATTTTAAGGTACAAGATTCAAGATTTTGTTGCAAGTTCTGACTTTTTTCCAACTTTAATTATAATAGTATATTAGCTACAAATAAATAATTATTTTTTTTACAGATTCAAGCAAATAAATAAAGTGATGATGTGTTACATATGAATAAAATACAACACAAGTGTCCAAGAAGCAGTTCATAACCTTAAAGAAATAACTGCCTTTTGTGCATCTACCTATTGCTGAAATCAACATTTGCTAATAATTTACAAGAGAAAATATTCAAAATGAGTAGAGCTCTTTAACAAGAGGGCAATGGGTCACAATGCTCACCTGAGTGACTGGCCCTGCTGATCACCTGATTTCCCCCTTGTAATCCCTATTGTTGGCAAACCTTACTGGGTATCTTGATTTGAACAATTTAAAACCTACTCTACCCCAGGATGTTTCCATATAAGTTTCAGCTTTTCTGGCCCAGTGGTTTTTGAGAAGATTTTTAAAGATATTTCTAATATATTTCAGTGTACAAATTGGATTCCCTATTGTGGCCCCACCCCAGCCCTGGGGGTCATGATTTGAACAATCTAGAATCTAAACTACACCAGGATGCTTCCACATAAGTTTTAGCTTTTCAATGTAAAACTTGGACTCCTCTTGTGGCCCCTCCTACTCCTAGGTGTCATAATTTGAACAATTTAGAATCTACACTACATCAAAATGCTTCCATAAAAGTTTAAGCTTTTCTGGCCCAGTGATTCTTGAGAAGAAGATTTTTTTTTTAATTTTGTATAAATTCAGTGAAAATTGGATATCCTGTCGTGACCCTGCCCTACCCCTGGGAGTCATGATTTGAACAATTTAGATTCTAAACTATCCCAGGAATGTCTACAACAAAAGTTTCAGATTTCCTAGCCCAGAAGATTTTTTATGATTTGTCTTATATATTTAAATGTGAGAACTGGATTCCCTATTGTTGCCCTGCCCTATCCCCAAGGTTTAAGATTTGAACAATTTCGAATGTACACTCCCCCAGGATGCTTCCACATTAGTTTTAAGCTTTTCTGGTTTTGAGAATAAAATATTTTAATGACCCCACCCTATTTTGTCTTTGATTATTTCCCCTTAGAAGAGTGATTTTTCCTTAATTTTAACAATTTTATACCCTTTCACCTAAAGATGCTTTGTACCAATTTCGGTAAAAAAATGGTCCAGTGTTCTTGAGAAGAAGTTTAAAATGTGAAAATTTTACAGATGATGGATGGACAATGGGTGATCAGAAAAGCTCAGGTGAGCTATAAACTGCTATACTTTGATATTCTACAATTCCATTCAAAAGCATAAAGAAATATTGTTCTAGGACTGGTTACCAGCTAGCACCGAGAAGTGATTAAACCATTTAATTTTATCTCTCTTGAAAACCTTGAATCCCCTTTTTGAATGAAGAACATTTCTCTGAAACATATAAGTATAGGACTGTTATTACCAAACCTTTTCTCATTTTTTGTTAACATTGTACAACGCGTCTGTGTTTTTTTTTTTTTTTATTTAATCAACTTTAAAGCATCTCCCTTCAGTTATATCTTAATTGTCAAAAAACACTTTTTAAAATGTTTTATTTTAATTGTTTGTTTCTTTTTTTTTTTTTAAGGAAAAATGGAAAATTTGTTAAAAGTGCTAATTACCAGTAGATACATTTAAAGATGAAATTGTAAAATTAAATTAATTTCATTTTTGAACCAATGCTGAAAATCTCATAAACTTCATCCCTCTGAAGAAATTCTTTTTATATGTTTATTTTTAGATGCCAACAGTATGAACTGATAAATAAGTATTGTCCTGACCCCCTTAAAAATCTATACCTCTCTGTGTTTATAATTTACATATAAACAAACAAATGTCAGAATCTTTAATCTATTTCCCAACATTGTACTCTGTTAACTTCCTGATCACAAAACTACCCTTTTTCATTATTTCAGTGAAGTTGTACTTAAAATCTATTAACATTAATTAATGTCTTCAAATAAGGTATCCTAATTAGAGTATTTTACATATTTATCAATGGAAAAGCCATATGTAATTCTTTATGAAATAACGCACTGCCAACCATACCAAATAGGCTTGTCATCCATTATAATTGTGGTAGAAAATGTATTACACAACCTGACTTCTATTTACCATATATATCAACTCATTTACATAAGAAGTTATAAATAACAGGACCAATATATTAATATCAAAAGTTCATTAATAATACAATACAAGATTTGCCAAAATTTCAATATTACAAAAGGTAATTGTTACATCCCCTGTGGAAGCCAGCTGGGAATTTCATCATACAGCCTTCCTCAACAAACAAAAAATAAATAACGACGTAAATCTGTCCAAAAACTGGTTTCCAAAGTGGCACGGCAAAATATGCACACTAAAGGTCTGACGACACATTCCTCTAATATATATTTTGTATTTCTTGGTATTATATAAAAAATATGCATATCTGTCATCCTTTTCTGATTTCTTAACATTGTTTCCAATATGTTTTTAAATATAATCACATCAAAAATTGTGATATAAGCCATTCAGATGATTACACATATGGGATATATAAGAAATAACACCTTTGGTATCTAGTCGAAATGCCTGGTAAGGTACCTTAATTTTTTGTGAGGAAACTTGTTTAAGTACCTAGACTTCAATGACAATTTCTTGGGAAAAATTATACATTATTGAGGAACGTGTCATCTGACCTTTACTTTTTTCTTACTTTTCTTATTAAGCTTTGTATAATGTGTACATGTACTTTTAAATGTTCTTAGTGAAAAATGTTTTAAGTGGGTAATTAAAGATCAAATCTGAATTGAACCAGGGAATGGGGGGATGGTCTTATGAAAAATGTACATACAGGCAGATTTGCTATTAAACTTTATTAATATTCAATATCAGTGCTCTTCATTTTCAAACATTTCACATGGATGACTATTGGAATGACCTTGCAGACCTTATTAATCATCCTAGCTTCATTAACATCTTGTTTATAGATAACGATTCTCAGAAGAATGTATTTTTTCTGTAATGTACAGGTGTTAATGATCTCCCTAGTTCTAAGGTTAGTTCCTCATCACAACACAATCATACATCAACCCAATTCTCCAATCACTTCAAAATTCAGGTTAAAGGTCAGCCTGATAGATTATTTTTCTCTGTTGTAATGAATTAAGCACCAATTAATCATTTAGTACATGACATAGATTAAATTACCTGGGCCACAGTTTGTTCTCCGAGGGGAGCATCATCATTTCTGATTGACACTTTCTGCACTATTGAAGAGGCATCAGAATCTAAGATAATTCTAAAAAGAAAAATATATCAAGTTGTCATCATTAGAATTAAAATCTTATTTCCGCAGTTGTGGTAGAAATCCGCAAGTTTTCCAAAACAATTATAACAAATATCAGTATAAGTGAAACTTATTTTCTTTAGTAAATTCTACATTTTAACTTAAAAAAAAAAGATTCCTGACAGTTTTAAATTATTTATATTAACCATATGTTAAATAAGTAAATATCAATATTTTTATATATGCTATCTACATATTAATGTCTTCATAACTATAGGGCTGAGATAGAAAAAGTCTCCCAAGTTAGGTAACTCCTATAAGTGCCAACCATGCCCTCTACAATATGAGGAAAATAAGAACACCAATTTTTTATATTGATACATTAATAAGTAACAAGAAGTAATTATAATTGCCTTAAAATCTAATTAACTTCTCATAACAAGAGGCCCAGGGGCCACAGCGCTCACCTGAGCACATCGGGCTTGAAAAACTAACTAGAATCTACACTACCTGAGGATGATTCCATTTATCATAGCTTTGAAGTACTTGAAAAGAAGATTTTAAAAGGTTTCCCTATATATCTCTAGTATCACCAGGGCCGGGGGTCATGATTTGAAAAACTTCAATCTACACTACCTGAGGATGATTCCACATGAGTTTCATTTTTCCTGGCCCAGTGGTTCTGGAGAAGAAGATTTTAAAAGATTTTTCCTATATATTCCTATGTAAAAAGGTCGGCCAAGTTGAACAAACTTGAATCTACACTACCTAAATGATTCCACATGAGTTTCATCTTTCCTGGCCCAGTTGTTCTGGAGAAGAATAATCCTATGCTATGTAAAACTTGGGTCGGCCATTTTGGCCCCACCCTAATTGAAAAACTTCAATCTCTTCTGAGGATGATTCCACAATATGGAGAAGAAGATTTTAAAAGATTTTTCCTATATACTATGTAAAAATAAGTGATTTGAACAAACAACCTTTTTTATATTCATCTTTCCTGGCTCAGTGGTTCTGGAGAAAGATTTTTAAAGATTTTTCCTATATATTTCTATGTAAAACTTTGGTCGGCCATTTTGGCCCCACCCTTGCCCCGGGGGTCATGATTTGAACAAATTGAATCTACACTATCTGAGGATGCTTCCACATGAATTGAGAAGAAGATTTTTAAAGATTTTTCCTATATATTCCTATGTAAAAATAAGCATCCTTGCCCCGGGGGTCAATTTGAACAAACTTGAATTTTATATGAGTTTCATACTGGAGAAGAAGATTTTTAAAGATTTTTAACAATGAATGAATCTTGAGGATGCTTCCACATGAGTTTCATCTTTCCTGGCCCAGCGGTTCTGGAGAATAAGATTTTTTAAAAATGCCATAAATTTTTAACAAATTCATGATTATCTCCCCTTGGAAAAGGGCGTGGCCCTTCATTTGAACAAAATTGAATCCCCTTTACCCAAGGATACTTTGTGCCAAGTTTGGTTGAAATTGGCCCAGTGATTCTTGAGAAGAAGATGAAAATGTGAAAAGTTTACGACGACGACAACGCCGACGACACCGACGCCGACAGACGACGGACAAATTTTGATCAGAAAAGCTCACTTGAGCCTTTGGCTCAGGTGAGCTAAAAAGCACAAAATCATTCTGTAGCATAATTTTGCAATAAATTTTCAAGTTATCAGAAATACATGTCGAGTCAAATATCTAGCAAAGAACTTTTATTTATTATATATTACTACCATGATTACTTATCTTCATTTTTTCTGGGAATTCTGCATCTTGTTTTTGAACTATGCAAACTTCTAGGAACAATTATAAAAACTTTTCCAGAGAAGTATTTGAAGATCATAAAATCATTTATGAATTCTCAATCTACTTTTAGTAGGATCAGTGTTTCTCTAACCTTTCTATATTGGCAATGATCCATACCAGTAAAAAACACTTAGAGGGAAGTGCCAATGATGAACAATTTTGATTTGCATACTACAATTCTCAGTTAACCTTGGATTTTCAGTAAGGTGTGGCATTCTCAGCATTACGTAATTAGCCTCTGTCAAATGGCAAATAGATTCTCATTGGTTAAGAAATTAATAATATCAGGCCCCGGGATCATGAAACAGACTTACACCTTACGTCAAATTTTCAATTGCCTATAAAATATTCATTGATTGAGGGATTTATTTAGAAATTTACTGATAACAACACCTCTCTGAAACAATATTGAAAAATATTTTAAATTTGGTCTGCTTGACCTCTACAACATTTTATTATAAAGTATTTTGACTTAAGCTTAAGATGTTTCATGATCCCGGGGCTAGATCTTTAAATTATTGTTGACAACAATGAGACTACAGGTACTTAAGCCCTACCTCTTTGCCATTCTCGAGACCTTGTTATTGGATATTTGCTAAACTCGTTGACAATGGCCGAATTTCTATCCAATGTATATTTTCAACAGTAAATGAAGGCTGTGTAAATTTCAGATGCTAATTATGTAACATCGAGAATGCCAAGCTTACTGAAATTCCAAGGCTAACTGAGAATTGTACTAATAAAATTTATCCATAAAACACTTTAAGTTTTTAATATCTTAAAACCAAAAGGAATGAAATTCACTTTGTTATAAACATAAATTCATTACAAGTATTTTCACTCTAACTGTGTATTACTGTAGCTACATGTATATTCTCACATGGACTCACCCTCCATCACAGATTTCATCTACTACAAGAAAGGCGGCATCAAGATTTTCCAGGAGCGACCTTTTTTCTACATTTTTACGGAGAATTTGGTTAATGGCATCATATAAACCATTCAAAACACTGGCTAAGATCAGCTGAAAAACAATAACTATGAAGATATACATGTATCACTAATCACGCAAGGAAAAGATTTCTCTTTGATTGACATCAGTACCATTTAAAATACATCTAAAGGTACCTAACTGAACTGAAGATCTTAAGGATAAAAGAATACTAGTAGTTATTTTAAGTGCATGATTTTTGTTAAGTTATTTTTAAAGATTGTAAGAGTTTACCTCATTTTCTTGTGAGCTGCCAACAACATAAAAGAACAAATCCACATTACTTTTGTACACACATGTAAGACCCTCAAACATGATGATTTCAGCTGGAAAAAGTAGAATGAAAATTAATGTTGGGCCAAATATTAATAAATACAGCCCCCCATCCCCCATCCCAACATAAAAGAAAGAAATTTTGTATACCATGTAGCATTGTGAAATTATAATAATTCTTCCTTAAATAATAATTTGATAATTATAGTAATATTTCCTACAGTTAACAAAAAAGGTGTTATAAGTAGATCAGCATGACTAGCTTAAATACAGAGGTCTGTTCAACACAGCGAGGCGAGGGCTCACGAACATTTCCATTGCTGGTATACGGAATTTCGGCGAGCACTCGCGAACGTTCGCTCTGTTGAACAGGCCTCAGATATATTAAGTTGAGTAGATTATTGTCACAGTGATAGCTCTATATAAACTGTATTGATTTTCTTACAGTTGGCTTTGTGTGTTTTTCCAAACAGGTTCTTTTCAAATTGTTTCTGTTCTTTGGCTGTTGGAAACTGGTCATCATAGTACTGAAAAGTCCAAGAAAAACTTACATGTATTTTACTTATTTATCCTACCTATTTATCATACATAATTATTGTTTACAAACCAGCACTTACTTTAGTAATCAGTCTGTTTCCATCATTATCTAAGATGGCAATGGCTTTAACAGCATACAAAGATGGTTCCTACAAGAAGACAAATCAATATCAAAATTCTTCTTTACAGACTGGAAATACAAATATCAGATATTAAGATACCTTCAAACCATTCAACACATATAGATTCTGTCTGTCATATGTTTTACCTTGCTCAAAATTATGTACCTCAACATAAAGACATTAAGAACTTACATAAGACTTAGTGTTCATTCTATGTACATTTATATAGAATACTTGCACTTTTTTGTCATTACATGCATACCAATCAGGTCATTATTTGTTTGCTTGTCCAATACAGTGAAAACTTTTTATGGACATGTGAAAACTACTGGACACTTGTCCAATTGGACAAGTGATTTTCTTGAGATTTTTTTAAATGAAGTATACTAACATGAAAAACTAAAACCTGTTGATCCCAATTGCAATACTGAATTTAGATTCCAATCATTACAACTGACATTGAAGGTTTACTATGGACATTGTATGGAGGCATTACATTCAAATTTGAACTTTAATAATATCTGTTGGCGACCTGTTCCTTGAGTCTAAGGCATGTACAAAGAGGCAGAGACACTAATATGCTAACAGTGAGACTGTAAGGACAAGCACAGATACTTGTTCAGTTTTTAGATAGGGCTCATCAAACCGCACGTGACATTTGGTGAGTCTAGACTCTGACATCATGATGTCGAATTTAAGTTGCATTACCAAACCGAAACCTAAACAGTGCTGACTTTAAATGAAGAAAGTTTTATTTACTATTTATCTGCAATATATCCATTTAAATCAAAACAAGTTAATTTTTTGTTGAACTTTTGTTATTCTCACGAGAACAAAGCTTAAAGAATCAATGCATTGTGGGTCCAGAAGTTACTGTGGAAAATTTTCATTTGGATCAATGTCAGCACCATGCCAGAATTTTCTCTTTGTCAAGATGTTGTCATTAGAGCTCGCATAGGGAGCAACACTTTGCACTGCCTCGCTGCACTCACTTTTACTGTTAAATCATTAAAACATGCACTCTAACAGCTGCTAAAACTCAATTAAACATTCTTTGCAAAAATTATATATGCGTGCACAACATATAAAGTATAAAATCTTACATTGGGATGTATTCTTAGATATTGTTTAAATAAAATATTAGTTTACTGCTCTTGGGGGGCAAAGCGCGGCTTTTTACTGTGAGCTCTTAAACAATGCCTGGGCAAAGAGAAAATTCAGACTCTGCACATGGATCCAAATGATTTTTTATTTTGGAGTAACTTTGGATCCACAATGCATTGCTTTTTAAAGCTATGTTCTTGCAAGAATAGAAACAAAATTTCAACATAAAATAAACTTGCCTTGGTTTAATGAATATATTGCAGATAAAAAGTAATTAAAACATTGTTTATTAAATTCAGCACTGTTCAGGTTCCTGTTTGGTATTGCACTTACATAGGCTGTCTAAGTCTTCACAAGCCAAATGCCACGTGTGGTTTGAGGAAATGGGTCTAAATATAATGTCTAAACAGTACACTGAAAAGGTATCTGAGCTAGCCCTAGTTAGAATAATCTAACTGTGTCTCGGGACAAGCCCTCACCACAGTTAGAATACCACCCATATACTCGCAATGTAGCAAAAAATTGCAGAATAGCTCCGAAACGAATTTGGAGAATACAAACAATGACAAAGGGATTTGCACTGGAAATAACTTCAAAATTAATTATAACAAACCTTTTTGAGGTTGCGTGTGCCTTTAAACCTAAAATATAATCCAAATAAAGACAAAAATTCAACTGATTTTCTCAACGTTTTTTCTCGCTTCAAATTTACATGCCATGTTTGCATTTAGTACTCTCTGGATTGTTCATAGTAAATTTTATGCACTGAGTACGAGTTATCGCCCAGGTTTCTTTTGCTACACTTTGAATACATGGAACGAATTCTATCGTTAAACCTGGTCCGTAGGACATTTATCATTTTAACGATAGAACATTCTATCTAAGCTAGCCTTAATGGTCGCACTGTCAACACAATATTTATTTTGCATTAATCAGGTCTAGTCTTCTTATCAATGTCCAATACTTAGCTTAACCTACCCTGTCATGCTGAATTATTCTTGCTTTTATTATTTATCATGAAATTATTAAATTCAACTCGTTCAATAGTCCTAATTTGTAAATATTTACATCCACTGAATATTTTCTCCTTTATTTCTTAATAAAGAAACCCCATTGCGTTCATCACTGCATAAACGACAGTAGGCATGTCGCCTTTACAGATTTCTTAATCAGTGGCTGTTCCATCAATGAAACGTATAAAGATGTTCGCATCATTAATACAATAATTAATCTTTTTAATCCCACTTTAATTGATTATTTAAACAGATATAAATATAAACAATAAAATGTCTTTCTTTGTTTGTTATTACTGGAATGAACGGTCGCAGCTATTGCAGAAAAAATTTACATAACCCGCTTACGCGGGTTATGTATTTTTTCTGCAACAGCTGCTTCCGTTCATTCCAGTAACAACAAACAAAGAAAGCATTTTATTGTTTAAATAAACATGAACAAGCTTTTTTATGATGCAGACTAGAAGCGTGCATGCAGCAGACTACTTTCACTTTTCGGTTGCGCTCCAATGTGAATCGTACATTCTAGGGAAACAAAGTTGGTGCAGATGTTTAATAAAATTATGTGTCTAAAAGCACTGAAAGCATCATACAATTTCTAAATCAGAGATTAATAGTATTCGCTTTAAAGTTGGAGGTATTTAAGTTTCCAATAACGAATCACTGTTTCAAGAAATATGAGATGCAGGGATCCTGTCCAAATTATAATTTTTCGTATGCGGTGTTTTGCACAGCAGTTACAATAAAAAAAAAAAAAACCAGAAGATGTCTACCAAAAAGCGTACAATAAAGGTGGTTAAAATACACAAAATCAAAATCAGCAGCCAAAATCACTAAGAAGTGCATCTGCATGTGGAAATGAGAATGTCTCCCGGTGGTATATGTGCATGTAAGCTAATGTGAAGACATCGACGATGGCGAAATTAAAATCGTCATGATTACCAAACAAAATTAAAATTTAGAAATTTTATTTATTCATCCCTTTGCAAATTAAACTTTCCTACTAAATCATATTATTTCCAACAATACTCCGTTTGCAGTTTTCCTATTAAAAATAATTATTTCAAATAATCAATATTTATATCTTGCCATGATCAAGATCAAGCTCGTATAATGTAAAATTCATATTGCTAACAATAATTTTTTAATTCAACATCAAGCTAAATAAATTATAAACAGAGTTTTATGATACCCCCCCCCTCCTTTTTTTCAACATTTTCTAGTAAACATTTGATTTTTGCACATTGAGAAAATGATGTGCAGACTACAGCCTTTTTGCCTATATGGAATATATGCCATTGTCTTCACGTAAAAGGAAGAGAGAGCACTATGAAAGCAGCAGAGGAGAATGAGCTGTCTTGTTTAAATTTCTATAGAGAGGACGGACAGTTGAAGTAGACCCATATAAAGTGAAAGGACAACCTCCAGTATTTAATAAATCAGAATATTTAGTCTACTGTGAATGTTGGAATGGAGAAATCCAGCAAATGAATACCAACATCATCATTTGTAAAGTTGTCTCTGCTCATTGGAGGAAATTTAGGTGTTGGGTCTCGACATTTTGAGTTCCTTTCAGCCTTAGGTATCTCTGAAGCCAGGCCCGTAGGAAGCAATTTCAGTTGGGGGGGGGGGGGGGGGGGGAGGGGGGACGAGTGCAGCGCCATACATTTTCAGTTGAGGGGGCACTATCAACTACCAAAATTCCTTGACAATCAAGCATAAAAAAGGTCATCGGACGGGTTTTTTTGAGGGGGCACAATCATACATCTAGCGGTATATTTTCTATAGTACTCTAAATAGCAGCAAAATTATGGGGAGGGGGAGGGGGGTGGTAGCTCAGTGAGTACAATTGTTGAATCAAAAATTATTTCTCTGTTTAATTTGCAGTTCATCACATATACATGTAGTTTTTACGTCCTCTTATATCAACTAGTCATTTGATTTCCCTATGATTTCATTGTTGTAGTTTTTGCAAAAATTCTTAGCCTTTCTATTTTTTTTTTGGTTTAAATATTTTAAGGCATCGTGAAACGTTACTTAAAAAGGGTATTTTTAAATTTACACGGTCCCGAACAAAAATAATCAGCTGTATGTCACGTGATTCGGTAATGGAGAAAATGATCCGCTAAAGGAGAAAACATCATTCATACAAGTATAGCGATAATTTTTATTTAATCAGTGGTTGTTGGGAAAAAAATATATGATGTTTTAAGTTAAACATGGAACCACCAAAAAATGTTGTATTATGAATTTAACTCGAACTCAGGTACGAACTATCAAAGCAAATTTACTAAGTGATTCGATATCGGCAACCTCACTGTACTTGATGTAACTATTTCTTCCTACTTTGCCATGTCCTTCAAAATAAAATTAAATAATAATAACAGCGCATTTTTAAAACATGTCAAACTTATTCTTTATCATCTTTTGCACTTGTACAAAAAATTCAGCGTGCTAATTTGAAATCTTTTTTGAGGTTAAAAATTAGTGAGAAAAGGCATTAAAAACCACTCCAAAAAATTGTTTGTCTAAGATTGCACGACTACTTCAAAATTGATACAGGTTTGTAATTAAAGACTTAAATTTTATCCCTAGCTACTATAAAATGAAACTGCATTGTTTTTATGCAAAATTGATATGTTAAAGGTAATCATTTTTTTCAGGTCCAGTCCAAAGACTATTTCTACCTATGTAGCTACTTATAGCTACGTAAGTATTTAAACCTACTTCAGGTAGCCATTTTTACCTACTTTTTGTTTTACTTGCATTTGGTGCTAATCATATTGCGCCATTCATGCGTTTAGCCACAAAACGCAAATAAAGAAAAAAGTAGGTAAAAATGGCTACCTGAAGTAGGTTTAAATACTTACGTAGCTATAAGTAGCTACATAGGTAGAAATAGTCTTTGGACAGGACCTGTTGTGGGGAGAATGATCTACCGATAAAGGGGTACAGTTCGGTCATTATTACGATTTCATTCGATTATTTTACAAACGAATATCATAATTTAATGTTTAAAAAATCGTTCACTCCCTTAATTAGCAATGGGCGCCGCCGCTAGGTGGCGCTGGCGGTAAGTTTTCCCGCAATCACGAAAAGTTGACCTCGTTGCGCCTAGGATTTTTCCCGGTCTTGTATGATAAAACCTGAGGCTAAAATACGAAAGTAATGGTGCGAAACTAAAGTCAGGAGTTCTAATTTGACGTATATGATATTTATAGAAAGCACATGGTAAGAAAATGGCAATTTATCGATATTTAAAGTGAGAAAATAGGTGGGAAGACTAGAAATCGGCAATATACGCAGATTTTACGGTCATTTTTGAGTAATTTGATCTTTTTTAAGCTTAAAACAATACGAAGATAATAAGTATTTGCTCGGATAATAATGTAAAATCGATGTTCAATCCGGTAGGGTCAAACGAACAAGAACGATAACTCTAATGTTTTTAAATCCGAGGACAATAAACAAGGCATTTAATCGCCGATTTTTCTTGTTCAGTAAGTTTTCCTGTTTTTATCCTCGAAAAATATATATTTGATTTATAAACACATGAAAATATGTCATTCTCTCCTTTAAAGTTTAATGACATTATCTTGCAAACTGTAAAGACCGACAATTCTGTGTATCTCAAAACTCTTGCACTTGCAAAGTTGCAGAACGATATGTCTTTGTCAATTTATTTTGAAAGTTGAATCACAGGAAGAACTTCAAGACACTAAAGTCAGTTATGTGTAGCTTACACCTTTGTCATAATAAATTGCTATATGCTCTGCAAATTGATAAATTATAAATATAATTTGATTAATTTAAACATGTTAAATGCTAAAGTTAAAGTAGAATAAATCTAATGCATATGCAAAATATTTTAAATTGAAATGTCAAGTAAACTGTAATTGCAGACCACTTTTTAAAATTCTTTTTTAGGAATTTATTGAGAAAAATCAGCCAACTCCTGAAACTAGTGAAAGTCCTTTACTATTTTTCATTGTGATTTTTTAAAAATTTTATTTCAAATTTAGCACAAGCCCTCATACTAAAGTTGAGACATTCCAATAAATATGGATATCATTTTAACAAGATAAAGAAAACATTTTCTTCTACACTTGAGAATAATAATTATTCTTTCAATACCTTTTAATCATTTCTTTTTATTCTTTTTCAAATTTTAATTGTTTTGTAAATAGAGGATAGAGGAGATGTATAAAGAGAGGACAGTGGTTCTAAAAGAAGTATAATAAATGTAGATTTTATATAGTGTTAAATTTGATAAAAACACAGTTTTATAAACCACAATTTCATAAACCTTTTCATCAATGTCAGGGATTGTGAACATAAACATAATGAAACTGTGTAGACTTTAATACAAGAATATAATGTAACTTTCCATATATGGTAGACAGTGTACGATAGAGTACTTCAGAGTACTGAAGAAAAGTTGTGTATTTTAATATAATTAGACTATTTATGTATATACAATTTGATTTAACAGTATATTAAAATATATTTCAACATTTGTCCCAAATATTTGTTTATTTAGCAATATTTGGACAAGAAAGCAACATTCATGATTCAATGCAATGAACAGATGATAGTTATTAACACCCCAATCTTATTTACTATTTTGTTTCAGACTTATTAATTTCAACTAAATCTTGTTTATCAAAAATTAAATTAATTGCATTACATAAACTTTAATATTTTTCACATTAACAATGAAACATTTGAAGTTTGATTAGATCAAGATCAGGATCAAACCATAAGATAAACCAATGTAAACCGTAACTTGAAATCAAAAATTAAAATAACTTCTAAAATAAGGAACACATACACATTTTATTTAAATATATGTTTAATATGTTAAACCAATGTTGAAAAACATACAAAAAGCAGTTTTACTGCATCTAATTATAAAATTTTACTAGCGTACTCTAAAGTACTCTATCTTACAAGCGTACTCTGTTTTGTAGGACAGTAAGGTGAAAGAGGGTAGGTGTGTTTATTAGTATTTAAAGGCTATAAAAATTCTCATTTTCAATAAATTAAGTTCATATTTAGATTAAACACACCCAAAAAAGGTTAAATAGACATGGAGTTATCTTTTATTTGATAAAGTTTCTTCAGTATAATGTGAGGTCAGATATTTTTAAAAGTCAGAAAATTAGCCAATTGAAATTGCGTGGGGGGTACCCATGTTTGCCAGTTAATTGTGATGCAATGGAAAGAGATACAATGAAATGGTTGTCAATTTTGAAATCAGCATGCTCAAATTGAGAGGAATGTGAGGAAAAAATCTGAAAAAATACTGTTTTTAAAAATCACCCCCTGATGCTACCTTAATTACCAAAATTCCTCCATCCATGATGTAAACACCGGTCTCTGAAGAACAGATGTACAGAAAACAAATTTGACGTGGAGTAGCTCAATGTCAATTTAACGCTTCAATTTATGTCAGATGTAAGCCTTTATTCCTTTCCATTAAAGCGTTTGAAAGACCTCAATTATTTGCAGTAAATAATGTATACTGGGTCATTTGTGGAAATTATTCAATCAAATGATTTTTTTTCTATATTCTAATTAAATTCCAATTAATTATCCAATACACAATATACATAGAAAACTTTCATTCTTGGATCTTTTTTTGTCTTTAGAAAAAAATTAAAAGATTTTTTTCTGCGTTCCAGCCAAGCGAGAAATAAACTGGTCTTCAGCCCGGCTTACAAAAAAATTACAAAAAATCATAGTCTCGTTCAACCAGACGCTCGGCTGTCTCCGTTAACTCCGACCAGCAGAGAGTCTGGTAAAGATTCACGTAAGCGTTTGTAACCGTCAGAGGGCGCTATCTTGTTTTCATTTTTGACGATCCTTTTTGAAAACAAATGTTATATGTGTTTCTTCTTCTGGATTGTGACCTTATATTATGAAACTAATCTTTAATTTGTGACACCAAACGAGAAATTACAATATCAATCGAAGGAATGTGTATTACGCAGGTAGGGCTACACTACTTTCACTTTTGCTTTCGTATAGAATATTTGCTAGACATAATAAAACACACTTACCTATAACTGGTGGGCATTACCGTAAACAATTCCTATCTATCAGCTTTAACTTTTAGACATATAACTTTTACATCTTTAAGTTATTTTTCTCCTGATTTATCATGTATTTATTTAAATCGTGTAGGTGTGTTCTTTTCAGCCAATCAAAAACTTTACCAGAATTTCGGTAAGCCTCGTTTTGGCGTTACAAACGATATTACGTATCTTTACCAGACCCTCTGGCTGGTCGGAGATTTACGGAGACAGCCGAGGGTCTGGTTGAACGAGACTACAAAAAATCAATGAGCGGATACTTGCAAGAACCAGTTTACATCCAAAATGGCGCTCCACAAGAAGAAAGACGGTTCGCCTAATGTTAAATTCTTCGAGACCGTTGAAACAATTGCACAGTTTGATTCTGTGAGGACGTGGCTAAACAAAAATTACAAAAAGGTATATGAAAATTTAGACAGAAAAGAGTGTATTTACACATGTAAATCTGAATACTTTATTCAGTTATCTCTTTGTTCTGACACTTACCGGTTTTTGCAGACATAAAAAAGCAAGAAATAGAAATAGTAATGAGTATGTCTATTGGAGTTTTTATTGGCATATTTCATTGTCTTTTGAATTAAAGCAAAATGGAATAGTTAAGAATATAACAGTTCCAAACTTATTCTACTTTTTTCGCAAATAAAATATTCCTGCAAACATGAAACATAGAAAACAATAATCATAGTTTTAAAAAAAATGTACATTTGATAGCAATTTCTTTTAAAAAGATATGGTCAGACTTTAATCTATATCCACTTCTCTCCGCAATATCCTATATCCCCTTCTCTCCGCAAGCCCTCATGTTTTTATTCTGGAAAACGTAAAATGTTGATGGTGCAACAGTTAAGGTGAGCACAGATTCCTATTCAGTTTTATTTTAGATTGGGCTTATCAAACCACCCATGACATTTCATTTTGCTACATCTAGACTATGACGTTATATGTAAGTTGCATTACCAAAGTAAACTGAAGCCTGAACAGCGCTGATTTTAATGAAGAGCATATTTACATTTTATCTGCAATATATCCATTAAATCAAGGGGAGGTTATTTTGTTGAACTTTTGTTGTTATTCTTGCGAGAATGCAGCTTTAACAAGCAATACATTGTGGGTCCAAAGTTACTGCAAAAAAAATTCTGTTGAGTGAGTGTGCAGTAGTCAAATTTTCTCTTTGCCCAAGCATTGCTTTAACAATGACGAGTGATGTTGCACTTGCTATAATTTAGAACTGGTGACAGCGTACACTTCAACTGACATTTCAAGTCAAATTATAATGTTCTGATTTAATGTAACAGATTTGAAATTAACAATATCAACAGTATGACAGAAGAAAAACCAACTTTTATGAGTTGTCAATCCATTTTCACAAATTGCAATTATATTATTTGTTTAAGTGATAAAGTCTAGAACTAGATGCATTATGCTATTGATAAGTTGTGAGTTGACATTCAGCTTGATTTGCAAGTATCAAAAATTGAATAAATACAGGAACAGTGAAATTTCAATTCTCATAGTTGTGCCTGTTCTGATATCTTCCTGGCAGTCAGATATTAAAATTTGAAAAAGATGTCTGGAAAATGTCTGATACTGCATACTTAGTCTAGACTATTTCTATGCAATTCAAAGTTTAAGAGGCCAACCAAAGTTGAGAAAGTAAACTTATAACCTGTGCTTGTCCAAACAGTTGCACTAAAAATGTTATCCTGTTTCTCTGTTCTTACTAATAAATCTGTATTGCTCTCTTAATGAGTGCTTGTTTTAAAAAAAATAATTCCTAGTGTTTTCTGCTTTTATTGAAATAGCACAAGTGTATTAAGCATAATATATTCACACTTTTCAAATTCTGTTTATGTTGCAGTATACACAAGCAGATCCGCCAACAAACAAAAACCTTGCCAGTTTAGTGTGCCAGCTTCTGCAGTTTATGGAGGATGCATTCGGTAAACAAGTCAGCAACCCAGCCCTGACCAAATTACCAGTATGTAAAGATGCCAGTTTTCTTTAATATTTGAAAATGTTTATCCAGCACTTACCCAGTATCAATTTTTCCTTCATGTACATTGATAACTATTGGTTTCAAATAAGCAATCTTTCAGTTTTAAGGATGAAAATGTCAACTGAACAATATCTTGATTATGCTTTTAATCTTAATGACTAAACTAGTCTAATTCAATAACCTGATTAAAGATATTATGCATTTTGTAGATGAGGTGTTTCCTTGACTTCAAGCCTGGTGGTTCTCTGTGCCATATCCTTGCTGCTGTCTACAAATTTAAAAGTGACCAAGGATGGTAATTCATGCTCCTTAATGAATTTATCAAACTGTAAATATCAGTGTCAAAATTTCAGTTTTACCTACTGATTTGTATACCCATCAAATATCTTAATTTAATAGCTCAACTTATTTCTCTCTCTTCTTAATGGATACGAAACACGAGCAAAACAGGTTGGGAGCATTCGGTCCATACTTTGGCATAACAAAATCATTTGTCAAAATTCAGATGCATTTCCGTACAGAAGTGTGAATAGTTTCTTGAAATAAAATGATATAAATATGAATAAGAAAATGAATTGATTTGTTTTGAAGTGGCAGTAGATACAAGAAATATTTGTATTTTCCAGGAGGAGATTTGATTTTCAGTCCCCGTCTCGTATGGATAGGAATGTAGAGATGTTCCTACAGATAGAGAAGACCCTGGTCCAGAACAAATGTCTGATCATGCCCGTTATCTACATCATGACAGACATGGACAAGGTCATTCTCCCAAAACTCAAGGACATCATAAAACGCCACCAGGGAACCATCACAGACGATGATGAGGAGGCTACTCATATAATACACGTTTTACCATCACACCCACCAGCTGAGGGTACGTAAAATCAAGAAAACTTATGTCTATCACAGTGTAGGGGATAAAATTTCAAGGTTATTTTGTTGCAATGTAGAAATGTTGAACTTTGAATTGATATTGTAAGGAAACTCGAATCAAGATGCAAAACATCTTTGAATAATTTCAGCAAAATCTGTTACGTAACCAGCATCATTAATAATTAAAATGTTCTATTAAAAAATGAATATTGAAGCAAAAATGTTAGCAGAAAAAGACATATTAGATATATTTACAATTTAAAGATTTAATTTGTAAGTGGCCCATTGAAGGTAATGAATATTAATACTGGACTTTGTTACTCAATGGTCTTTTTCTTAATTCAGAGGATTTTATTCGACCTGTGATGAAGAGGGACCGTAATGCTATGATACACTGGTGGTACACACCTGACAGCTACGATACCTGGGTTCCTGATGTATCACCAGATCTGGAGATAGAGACACCTCAACACACAGGGGCCTGGGAGGTAAGACTCACCTCAGCACACAGGGGCCTGGGAGGTAAGAATTACCCTCGATAGCTAGGGGCCTGGGAGGTAAGAATCACCTCAATACACAGGGGCCTGGGAGATAGAGACACCTCAACACACAGGGGCCTGGGGGGTAAGACATCACAGCACACAGGGGCCTGGGAGGTAGGAATCACCTCAACACACAGGAGCGTGGGAGGTAAGAATCACCTCAATACACAGGGGCCTGGGAGGTAAGAATCACCCTCTATAGCTAGGGGCCTGGGAGGTTAAGTACATTAGTGAAAAACACTTCAACACACAGGTATTAGGAGTTTTGTGAAGATCACCTAAACACTCTGAATAGATCTGACAATTATGACTTACATTTGATCTTGCAGGTGACGGCCCGATGGTTGTTAGATCTGGAGGAGTACAATGAGTGGATGAATGAGGAAGACTATCTGATAGAAGATGAGGTAAGTTAAGGGGAGGATCTAATTATCTGATAGAAGATGAGGTAATTAAGTGGAGGATCTAATTATCTGATAGAAGATGAGGTAAGTTAGAGAAGGATCTAATTATCTGATAGAAGACAATGTAAGTATATACATAGGAGAAGATCTAAATATCTGATAAATGATGAGGGAAGATTAGGGGAGGCTCCTCAGAACAGATTCTGATTGCTTATAGAGAATGGTACTAAATTTAATACATATGTGAAAGTGGGAAATTGAATGTTCATAGTTAAATTGCTGAGTGAATTGGTAAATTTTTTGTAAATGATAAAAGATTATTTGCAGCCTGTAAAATCTAGACATTCAACACGGGTATTGCATTGCATTTTAAATTTTCAAAAAAAAAAAAAAAAAATTAAGAATTGACTTGAGCATGCTTTCTGTTGGAGGAATAACATACATGATAAAGTGGTAGTGGAAGAGTATCTTATATGAAACTTGGCATGTACCAATGTAATAATTTAAAAAGATGTATATTTTTGGGAGTTGCTAAAAAAACCTTTAAAGCCATTAGAACA